CTATCTTTCAGCTAACCGCTTGAGGCATATTAGAACAATCCATGAGCAAAAGGCGCATTTGTGTGCAGACTACAGTTTGGCCACAGGGTGGCACTGTGTTCTTTTGGCAATGCTGGGATTGGATCGGATTCCATCCCGCTCTCCTTGCTGTGTCATTTCAAGTTTAGACAGTTTTTAGTTCCTGTACTGAAATTATATAAAACTGGAGAGCTGAGCAGCACATGCAGGGCACCTTAATGAGGAGGACTTTCCTGACAGAAGAGATTCCGTCCATTCAAGTTACTGCAAAAATGTCTTGAGAAAAGAATTCTTCACACGGATTACTTTTGGCTATTTTTATTGTTGTTGCTATTATTGATATTATTCCATCCCTTTTCTCACTAAGTGGTGGCCCTGAATTCAGCTCTTAGTTACCTCCAGATCTGAGGGTAAAAGTGTGGGGCTACTTCAGAATCAGCATTTAAAATCTGAACTGAAACAGCCATTCTTTATATTTTACATTTTTAATACTGCCCTTCCTGCAAAGAGCTCACGGGGTGATGTGCCTGGTTCTCCCCTCTCCATTTGATTCACATGACAACCCTGTGAGGAACGTGAGATGGACAGGGGCCAATGTTCCCTCTAAGCTGTGGAATCTTCTGAGCAAAAATTCTACTTTGTGAGCTCCTGGCATTAAAGCTGTGAGCGAGCAATTTGGCTACTGCATAAATTAGTTTGCTCTGGAGCCATCCTTCCTGAGTTAAGACAGAAATGTGTGAGCTAGAGGCTAAAAATCTGTGGGCTAGCTCACACTAACTCAGCTTAGAGGGAACACTGACAGGGGCCCGAGGTCACCCAATGAACTGCATGGCCAGAGTGGTGGTGTGAACCCAGTTCTATGCCAGCATGCCAATCATACCACTTTAGTGGCTGCCATATGAAATAAGCGTGTTATCTATCCATCTGTCTGTCTATTGCCCACTGGCTGAGCATGCACCCTTAATAATTGTTGGAGTAGGACTTCAGAGGTTTCAAAAATATAGGCTGTGTTGGTCACAGCAGATAAATGAGAAGCTGGCATTCGGTGTTTGTTCTGTTTATAGATTAGAAAAAAATAAAATACGTTGGAAACTGGAAATCCTTCTTCATCCACATAGCGCTAACCAATTGGCAGAATTTGAAGCAAGACTTGACTTCCTTAGGTGACTCGTCAGGGAAACAGAAAAGAGAAGTAATTTGGAAGAGAGAAGAAATGGCGAAAAGTGCGTACTCGGCCAGAAAGTGAAAAGGGAAGGTTTAAACAGATCTTTGAAAAGATAAAAGCGTATTTTTATTACACTGTCAGAACCAAAGCAAAGGGCCACTGACTTATTGGAATGTGCTTCCCATTACAATATTTGGCTTTGGCCGGGGAAACATACTGTTCTTTCACAAAACTGGATAGTAGGTGGAATTCAACGGCTGCAATGTTTGGTTGTATTACCACAATGTGGAATTTTTACCAGTCTTTTAAAGGGACGTGTCCTATTCCCCCCTCCCCTATTCATGACCCCCCGCAGTTTGTTTTTCACTTTGGTGGAAGTAAAGCATTCAGTGCTTTCGAAGCACTGCGTCTCACAAATCTTTAAAATCCAGACAACGTGTAGAAATTCAGCAGGTAAAGACTTTCTCATCCTTCTTTGTCCATTTGCTGAGTTTCTGCCTTTCGTCAGGACTTTAAAAAGCAAATCCATGTTGCCGGGGGGGGGGGGGAGGCACAGCTGTGCTAATAAGTAAATTGTAACATCCTTGGGTCTTCTTTTACTTATAGGACATGATTTATTTTATTTTTGTGTTTAGAAAATGTCTGTGCTGTTACTCCAGAGACCAATGGGGCGGCCGCCACGTGATTATGGCGGAGCTAGTCTATTCCCTAAGGGCATAAGTTTTCTGCTTGTAACTGGGGTAGTGTCTATAGCAACCGCACCATGGCGGTCAGTGGAGGCATTGCATGGAGGCGGTGCCACTATGATGGACAGGGCCACCAGAACCAATCAGGAACCATGTGGCAAGGGGATGGAGTCCAGCGTCCATCTCAGGCAGGGGGCAGAGAGAGGTGGGCCACAGGAATTCCCCTTCGTTTTCAGGAGCACCCCCACCTCCTTAAAGGGAACAACTCCTGTCAGTAGATCTGGGCACCTGATAGTGGGGAAGGGGTTCCAGCTGTCCATTGCTGAGGGCACTCCTGCACCACCCCTGCCAGTGGCGGAGCAGGAGAGGGGGCCACTGGGGTGGGCTCAGATGTGGGGGCATGGAGCATCCCCCTCAGATCCCCCAATTCCCTCCTCGATGGAGCAGAGGTGGTCTTGGACTGGAATGACCGTCATTCCACTCTGGGCTCGGTCATTCCTGTCCCAGAGCAATCAGTGCCCAGAGACTGTCATTCCAAATCCATTCTACGAGCATCATTACTTCCATGTAGTCGAGACGTGGTATTTCTTCTGGGTCTAATGGATAGACAGTTGGGTAAAAGTCATGGAACTTTGTTCTTACACATGACAACAGTGAGATTACTATATGCACAAAAATGGAAAGGTTCAGTATTACCCACAAAAGAAGAATGGTTGATGAAGATAATGGAACTTGCAGAGATGGCTAAATTTACTGCTTTGATCAGAGAAAAGACATCTACCTTTGTTGTAAACGGGAAATGGAAAAAAATGAACTGATGACTTGCAGATTTGATGATCACGGAAAAAGAAACATTTTTGTAAGTAATAAGGAAAAAAGAATTAATATTTGGTTGCAATAGTAGAGCAAGTGTTAAATTTGCAATTTTACTTATATTTGTCGTAAATAAATCTGAAGTCTTTTATTTATATTTCTTTACCTCTGTATCTTTTTCCTGTTTTTTAAATTTCTCTGTTATAAAATTCTCAATAAAATTATTTTTATTTTTTTTTTAAAGGAAACCATTTGAGGTACCTGCATGGCAGTATGTCCAATGGGCATACCCTCCCAAACCCCACCTCGCTCCAAAAACATTGAGTCCAAAAACATTTTGCTCACAAGACTCCACAGCTTAGAGGGAGCATTAGTTGTAAGATATCCTGGCTGTTGTAGGGTGGGCTCTCCACGACTGGGTGCTGGGGAAGGGGCTTGGCCGCTGCAGTGAAGGAGCCAATTGGCCGAGCCTGCATCCCGAGCTTTTCAGAGCCTGGTTTGGTGAGTCTGCGGGGGGGGGGGGGGGGGGATGACTTGAGTTTTCAGTTCAATTGGCGCCTATGGGCCACGCCATGTTTTTTGTTGGCATAACTTTCCACCTCTGGCAGGGGGTATTCCCAGGCCGAAAGGGCTCAGGTATCCAACAAAATCTGGTCACACCCCCAAACCAACCACAACCACACCAGCAAAGGGCCCTATGCCTCAGTTGCACCAATGGGCTGCCACCTCGGCCCTCCATCAGCACCCAAGAGTGACAAAGTGGTGCTGGGGGCCTGCGCCATTGTAACTGGCCCTTACACTGGCATATCTCAGACATATGCCAACATAAAGGTCAGTTGGCTCTCGGTGCACAGCACCCCCCACCCCACCCCAGATTGTGCTGTGAAGCAAAGACACATTCAATAAGATTTTTCAAAACTGTAAAATAGTATTGAAACAAGCACTGCGGTGAAAAGGGGCTTATTTATTTATTTATTTATTTTATCTCTATTGCACCCTCCCCGCATGCAGGCTCAGTGCGGGTTACAAGGTCACATAAAGATTGTGACAACAATAACAATAAATAGAAATTTAACAATAAAATTATTTATTTGATTTATACCCCGCCCTCCCCGCCAGGGCAGGCTCAGAGCGGCTTACATAAACTTCGACACATAAAACCACAGTTATAAATATAGCCACAAAAACAAGACTTGAAGTGCTGGTTATCAGCACTTTAACATTAAAATCAACCATGTAGCAAACCAGAGCGAGCTTGCCTTGATGATAAAGCTCAGATGGAAGCGTTTCAGAGTGGTGCAGCTGGATAGTTCGCTAGATTAAGAAAATCAGCGCTATCAGCAGGGGAGGCCAAGATAGATTTGGACGTCCGATGCCTCAACCAAAATCCCTGCCTGTCAAATCTGAATATTTACATAGATTGTATCAGTATGGCCCCGCTTTGGAAAGCTTCTAAGATCTGCAACAGGGACCAAGAATCTCTTTAGAACACTATTGGGATGATTGCTTCTTGAGCAAAAGCTGCCAAAAAAGGCAGCCGCGGCAGTGATTAGAAAACACAAGCGTCTGGGCTAACTCCAGCTGATAGCATGAACATCCGGCTCCAAACTGACAGGTCCAGAGGGGTCGCCATGTTAATCTATCGTAGCAAAATTAAACAGAAGTCCAGCGGTACCTGGGGAAAAACTAGCCATATTTATTCCAGCATGAGCTTCCCTGTGTCAGAGCCGACTTATTCAAAGGCTTCTAAAGAAATGAGTTCCGACCAGTGCCGGATTTACGCATAAGCTAAATAAGCTACAGTTTAGGGCCTCGCAATCTGCTGGGGCCTCAAATAAAAACACAATATAAAAATGATTTCAAATATTAAAAAGGTGTATATATTTTAAATTTTTCTGAGACCAGCTGATGTAATTTAAAACATTAGGGGGCCTCTGGGTTTTGTATAGCTTAGGGCCACAGCAAGTCTAAATCCGGCCCTGGTTCCGACCTACGAAAATTCACGCTGGATTAACTGTGGCTAGCCTTTTACGATGCCGCTGAGCTCCTATTGTCAACCAACAGCCACTGTTCCGCCATATTCTCTGACCTGACGCCGCTCTACCCCCGCGTCTCTATAGCGAGAAGAACGCCTCTATCTCCTGCATTGAGCAAGCCGAAACTGCAGTGAAGTCCGCCGCTCCGCTAAGGGGAGAGTCTGTCTTTTCCATCTCTATGGTCAAAGGCTCTTTACAACCCCCCCTTTTTAAGCGTGGAATGTTTCCGTTTCCGCCATGGAGGCGCTCTAGGCGCCTGTCTCGTCTCTCTGGCGTGGGGGGGGGGAGTCTTTCCCGCGCCGTCCTCCTAAGGCGGCGTCTCTCGTTGCTTTTCTTCCGGGATGGGTGGGCGGCGGCTGTGATGATGGCGGACGAGGAAGGGAGAGCGGAGCCGTGCGCTCCTCACCTGGAGACAGACGCGGAGGCCGCCGGGGACAGCGAGCTGGAGTTCGGGATCCCCCTGGAGTCCAACGGCTACTTGCTGTACAGGTAGTGGCCGCTGCCGCGCAGCCCCGCTCCCAAAGATCTCCAGCGCAGAGGTGCTGCTGAGCCCGGGGGTCCGCCTGGGAAGAGAACAGCAGCCGCGCCTTCTCCCCTCTTCCCACCTGCTTGCTTCGGATCGCTCAGGAGGAGGGAGGGAGGGAGGCTTAAAAATAAACCACCATGCTCCGAGATTGAATTGTGGCATTGCAATTAGATTGCAAATAGGGAACTCTTTCTCCCCCGTTGCATCCTTAAATCTCTGATCCCGCATGCCTGGAAAGGGGCTGATGAGAATTGCTGGGCTTAGAGGAAAAGGCTCTCTGCGTATGCCTAGAGGCATGTGCCGACATAAAGCGTACTGTAAACGGGGCCAAGAATTGGTGTATTCTGCTGTGTCTGACGAAGGGAGATAGAGCAAGATGGGTAGCCGTGTTTGTCTGTCTGTAGCAGTAGAAAAGAGCAAGAGTCCAGTAGCATCTTAGGGTATGAGCTTTTTTGTGAGTCACTGCTCACTTCTTCAGGTATATGAAGAAGTATATGAAAAAGTGAGCGGGTATCTGAAGAGGTGAGCAATGACTCACAAAAACTCATATCACAGATTTTGTTAGTCTCTCAGGTGCTAACTGGACTCTTACTCTTTTCTACTGACGAAGGGAGCTTTGACTCTCAAAAGCTCCTACCCTGAAAATCTTGTTGCTCTCTAAGGTGCTGCTGGACTTGACTCTCTAACTGTTCTACTGCAGACCAACACGGCTGTCCTCTGAAGCGATCTGCTGTTAATGTTATACACGAGTGTTGTCATTCTGCCCTGATGTTGTTTGGATGAAGTGGGAATGGTGAAAGTCAGTTCTTGCATGCATAAGCCCCACCAATTTCCCTCCCATGTCACCATGGTTGAGTTGTAGGGTTGCCAGATCTGGGTGGGGGGAAAGCTGGATATTTGGGGGGGTGGAACCTGAGGAGGGTGGATTTTGGGGAGGGGGAGGGACTTCAGTGGGGTGTAATGCCATAGAGCTCACCTTCCAGAGTGGCCATTTTCTCCGGGTGAACTGACCTCTGTCGCCTGGAGATCAGTTGTAATCCCAGGAGATCTCCAGATGGCAACCCTATTGGGTTGCTTATGCGTGTTGATTGCATGGAGATAGTCCTGAGTGAACCGGTAGTGTATGCTTTTCCAGCTGAATGGGATGGTAGCATTCCCCCACCCACCCCCAATAACAGAGTGCTTCTTGGAGCTACTGCCATGGCAGGAATTGCTGTGGTCTCAAGTAGCTGTACACTTCAGGGTCTCATGTGACACTCTTTATACAGTTGTAAGCACCAGTGGACGTTGTCTGCCATTTATAGGGTACTGAGTGGCACTGAACCTAGCTGTTGGCAAAGCCATTGGAATGCGTGCTCTTTCGAGGTGTCTCAGTGTTTCATACTCTTTCTTGTTGTCAATTGTATCTTTACAGGGACCGAAAGGAATGGGCTGATATCGAGCCAGTGCCTCAAGATGATGGGCCAAACCCAGTGGTTCAGATTATATACAGCGAGAAATGTAAGCTGGTCAATTCAATAAACCAGTGAAATGCCCAACAAAGTAGGAACATGTATGAAAAGTGGCCATAGAAACAGGCTGTAGCAGATTGGGTGGGCAAGGGCCAGCCTCCGCTTTCCTTCCCAGCTGAATTTGCCCACCTTTCATGCTCTCAGCCCCTCTGCCTTCTCATTCTGGCCCTTGAGTCCCGGCCTTCTCAGGCACTGCACTGTGGCTGTGATGTTTTCCAGTGATGCTTCCGTTTGGTGTAGAACCAGTTTGGTGTCGTGGTTAGGAGCGCGGACTCTAATCTGGGAGAACCGGGCTTGATTCCCTACTCCTCCACATGAAGCCAGCTAGGTGACCTTGGGCCAGTCACAGCTCCCTCTGAGCTGTTTTCTGAGCTCCCTCAGCCCCGCCTACCTCTCAGGGGGTCTGTTGTGGGGAGGGGAAGGGAAAGATGATTGTAAGGCGCTCTGAGACTCCTTTGGGTAGCGAAAGATGGGGTATAAATCCATTCTCTTCTTCTACAGCAGTAGGAAAAAACCTTAGCACAGTACTCTCCCACCTACATGCACAGGGCAGGCCTAAAGGTACGGTAGGTGTTTCATCTTAAAAGAAGAAAAGAATCAGGAGCATTGTGGGAGGGAAAAAGCAGAGCCGATGTAGGAAGGAAAGTGATGACGGCTCAGGACTTGAAAGAGAACCAGACCTGCTCTTAGCGGTAAGGCGTGGTGATTAAAGATTGTTTACAGTTTCACCCACATCTTTGAAAAAGAGTTGCAAAGCTCCACGTATGGGAACTTGAAATAGACGTTGGGAGCTTGAGTTCAGAGGTGTCTGCACCCACGTTCTCTACAGAAATACCTGACAACTCAGAAGAGGTCATGCTAACACATGGCCTTGTGAGAGCAACCCGACAGCAGCCCCACATAGCTTCAGGTGTTTTATATGCGGGTAAAAACCTAGCAGTTCGAAAGCAAGAAATTGCAAGTAGATAAATAGGGACCACTTCGGTGGGAAGGTGACAGCGTTCCGTGCGCCTTGGTGTTTAGTCATGCCGGCCACATGACCACGGAAATGTCTTCGGACAGCGCTGGCTCTTCGGCTTTGAAACGGAGATGAGCACCGCAACCCTCGAGTCGGACTCAACTGGCTTTCGAGCAAGGGAACCTTTACCTTTACTAAAAACAATAAAGGGGGATGCCAGGTGCTTTCCTTGATGTTGATTGCTCCTCCAGTGCCCACAATACTTTCCAGAGTCTTATAAGCAGCGGAGAGATGTCCTTGCCCTGGGGAGGCTTGCAGGATGTGTTTCAACAGAAGAAAAGGCAGGAAGGAGACAGAAGGAACAAGGAGGGACAGTGGACATGTTGAGTTGCTGTTATCCATTGTGGCAGAATTAAAGAGTAAGGTTTCCCTTGCTCAAAAGCCAGTCAAATCCGACTCTAGGGTTGCGGTGCTCATCTCCGTTTCCAAGGCAAAGAGCCAGCGCTGTCCGAAGACGTCTCCGTGGTCATGTGGCCGGCATAACTAAACGCCAAGGCGCACGGAACGCTGTTACCTTCCCACTGGAGTGGTACCTATCAATTTCTTGCTTTCGAACTGCTAGGTTGGCAGAAGCTGGAACTAGAGACGGGAGCTCACTCTATCATGTGGTACTCGGGTCTCGAACTGCTGAACTACCAACCTTCCAGCCTGCAGTTACAGCGTGTTAACCACTTGAGCCACCACAGCTCCTAAAGAGTAGTGGAGTTCAAATATCAGATGAGGCATTTCATGCAATAATTATGGCACCCAGTTGCACATATGGAGGCTTCACTTCAGCTGGGGATGGAGACCCAAAAGGCTAGTCGGTAGGCTTTGCAGGAAAGCTGTGCTTTATTTTTACTTTTTTATTTGTGTCCTGTTCCCCCCCCCCCCCGATCGGGACCCAAAGCAACTTTTTGCATTGTTCTCCCCAACCCCCCAAGCTTTATTCTCGTAATGGCCTTTTGGGGTAGGTTAGGCTGTGAGACTGTGACAGGCCCAGGGTCACCCGATGAGCTTCCATGGCAGAGCAGAAATTCAAACCCAGTTGTTCCAGGTCCCAGTTCCGTACTCTAACTCCTATGCCATGCCAGCCACTCCAGCCTTTAGGGAGGGACTTGAACATCTGAAGCTGCTTTATGCTGAGTCAGACCGTTGGTCTCTCCAGGTCAGTATTGTCTGCTCTGACTGGCAGTGGTTCCCCAGGGTCTTAGGCAGAGATCTTTCAGCATCTCTCACTACCTGAACCTTTTAACTGGAAATTTCAGGGACTGAACCTGGGGCCTCCTGCGTACAAAGCAGATGTTTGACCACTGAGCCTCAGCCCCTGAGAGGTTTCACTGTGTGGGGATCCAGCGAGGGTGTGCCCGGCCTAAAAAGCATCAAGCGGGAATAGGCAATAGGCAATTAAGAGCACAGCCAATTTGAGGGCAGCCGGTAGAACCGAATGACTGATGCCTGTCAGCAGCGATATGACAGTAAACAAAACCAGAAGGAGGTGATGGGACAGCACTTTCGAGAATGTCGAGAGAAGGACAAGGGAGGTGTTCGTGTTAGACGTGGAAGAGTATGAGGAAAGAATATAAGGAGTATCACGGTGCCCATGTGACAGGAGCTGCGAAGGACTTTGGCAGTAGTGTTTTGTGATGAGACATCCGGACTGAGGGGTGGCTCAGGAAGGCCAGAGGTTCATTTGGCCTAACGCCCTTTTCTCGGTACAGTCAGGGATGTGTACGACTACTTCCGAGCCGTTCTGCAGCGCGACGAGAGGAGCGAAAGAGCTTTCACGCTGACGGGGGATGCCATCGAGCTCAATGCTGCAAATTACACTGTATGGTAGGCAGCGACGTTCACGCTTTAATGATTCTTATTGCTTTTGTGATGGCTTTAACTTTCTGGAACTCTTGATGGATTGTAAAAGCAAAATGAAAAAAAATCAGGAATTCTTCACAACGATAGCTCTGGCTTTAGGGGGGGGCAGTAGTAGATGCTATCATGATTGAGTGAAATTGAGATTTCGTTTTTTGCTTTGACTTCTGTAGTGTTGGGGGGGATCTCTGAGGATGGAACCAGGTTCATAAAAGTCTTTGTTGTGTACAAGGAAACGGCAAAATAATGACATACTTGTTTTTAAATGTCTCATGCGGGCTTGGCACACGGTGCCGATAAATATGTGAGCCGCCCTGAGCCCGTTTGCGGGGAGGGTGGGATATAAATCCAATTAAAAAAAAATAATAATAATGTTTTCCCCTAGATTTTATAAGATGCCCTCCATTCCATTCAGAATTGTTGGACTTGTTTTTAAAATTTTGCTTATGTAATTTATGTCTCACAGTGATTGATTTTTATTATTCTGTACCAGTACAAGAAAAAAAGTGGAGAACCATGGCCCAAGATCAGATTTGCTTGGAATTTCTTTTTTTTGCAGGCATTTCCGTAGAATTCTTCTGCAGTCCTTAAAGAAAGACCTGTATGAGGAACTCAATTACATCACAGCTATCATTGAAGATCAGCCAAAGAATTATCAAGTCTGGTAAAGCCTGGTTCTGTTGTTTAACACCAATTGAGAGCCAGTGTGGTGTAGTGGTTAAGAGTGGCGGACTCTGATCTGGAGAACTGGATTTGATCCCACACTCCTCCACGTGCAACCAGCTGGGTGACCTTGGGTCAGTCACAGTTCTCTCAGAGCTCTCTCAGCCCCACCTACCTCACAGGGTGTCTGTTGTGGGGAGAGGAAGGGAAGGCGATTGTAAGCCACTCCGAGACTCCTTCAGGCAGTGAAGGGTGGGGCATAAAGCCAACTCTTCTTCTTCCTTTTCCTCCTCCTCCCCCTCCTCCTCATCTTCTTTCCCTGATCGATGAATGCCCTCTTGCTGGTCCATCTTCTCTGAACTAGGGAGGCCACATGATCATGTACAGACCACGGCTCAGGAGTTTAGCTATGCCCATATGTCACGAATGCTTCAGAATAATGCAGGTTTCTTGCTCATGTGCCATCAGGAATGCACATGTTACATTTTGCAAGGGGCCATGAAAGCAAGAGGAGGGGCAAGCAGTGTTCACGGAAAACCAGAAGGGCAGCCTTTAAACTGGCAATGATACAGACATCGGCCAATGAAACCTGCTGTACAGGAACCACTGTAATGGAGCATTAATAAGTGTGTTGCGAATCCCAAGATCCAGTGCAGTGTAGAATAATTCCACCAATACCGTTGCACCTCCTCGAGGGTGGGCTGTTAGTGACATATGTGGAAAAGAGGTCTGGTTCACACACGCGTGTTCGTTGCTTGCGTGTTGGCAGTGGTGTTAAATGATTACTTGCATGAGTGAACGATCCGGTACAGTTGAATTGCAGCTGCGATAACTTTCATACGATCTGGCATCAACTCAGTGGATTCGACTTGCATGAGGCACAATTGTGAACCAGCCCGGTGGTTGCATTCCATCATTCAAGTGTCCTTCTGTTGCATTCCCCCCCCCCCCCCGCTGCATACTACCCAGCACGGTGTTTTAACAAACAAACATGCTCCTGAACAGTAAAAGTCACTGAATGGATGCTGTTTTAACATCCATTGTGGTTGTCCCTGCCGCCTCCAGAATATGCCTCTGTGGTATGGGTGAAGTGGATGACGTCGAGCATTACATTCTGAGATGTTCATGGCATGAATCACTTAGGCAAAGGTTTATTTATCCTATTGTACCTCGGTATAATGGAATTTCAGAGCAGGATTTGACCGTTTTCTTGCTCTCTGATATTGATGCACATGTTACTAGCAGAATGGCTTTGTTTGCACTGGCGGCGAAAAATATAAGACTGGGTATAGGACTTACTGTAAGTTACTGATGTATACTGTTGGTTGTGCTTTGATTTATTTTGTGTTGTTATGGCCAACGGCTAAGACAATAAACTAAACTTGACTAACATCCATTGTGGTTTCTCAATTGATAGGCACCACAGGCGAGTGCTGGTGGAATGGCTGAAGGATCCATCCCGGGAGCTTGAATTCATAGCGGACATTCTTAACCAGGATGCCAAGAACTACCACGCTTGGCAACACAGGCAGTGGGTCATTCAGGTAATTTTTGTTCTCGCTGTTACTGAACAAGCGCCCACCTTATTCTCGGAAGGATGGGTGCAGAGGGATGGCTTACATACTGCAAGGGATTGCAATATACAACTTCCCCCTAGTGATCATGACTCTCTTTCAGTGCAGGTCAGCACACCAGCCGAGAGATCCCATTCCCAAACCTTGCTCTACCTGCCCCAGTCCAATATATTGGTGTAGTGGTTAAGAGCGCAGACTCTAATCTGGGAGGACAGGGTTTGATTCCCCTGTCCTCCACATGCAGCTGCTGGTGTGACCTTGGGTCAGTCATAAGTTCTTTCAGAGCTGTTCTCTCAAGAGCATTTCTCTAGAGCTCTCTCTCAGCCCCACCTCATGGGGTGTCTGTTGTGGGGAGGGGAAGGGAAAGGAGATTGTAACCCACTCTGAAACTCCTTAGGGTAGTAAAGGGCAGGGTATAAATCTGGTGTCGTCTCCTTCTCCTCTCCATACCCCCACCTGCAGAAATGAACTCTTTCAGTGGTGGCTCCTCACCCCTGGATCATCCTCCCCTCTATCTGCTGAGACAGAAAAGGGATACATTCCAACCCCACTGCAGTGAAGTTTGAACTTGAGTCCTGCCCCTGGATTCTGGTGTCATTCTTGATCACACTATAGATGGATTGTTTCATTTGGGGGGGATCATAGTTAAATTCGGGTAATGCTATCAGTCCACTCACAAGACACGGACTCCCACACATTGCATCTGAGATGCTGCTCTGTGCACACAAATAAGCATACTGTTGCTTCTCTGGTTTGCATTTCCAAATTATAAAGACTGACTTGTCTGTCCCCAACATAGTTTTATTCAGGGCTTTCCCCACCTCTTTTAAAGAGGTGCCGGAACTCTCAAGAGGGAAATGAAGTTTTCAGTCTGTCTACTGAAAACTCATGAACTTTTAAACATTTTAAAACGAATTTTGTCGAAGAGGTTCCGGAACTCTGTTCCGGCCCGTTCCCCCAGAAAAAATTCCTGGTTTTGTTCATCTAGAAATTTATGCTGATTTAGCCCCTCAGTCTAGAGCTGCTTCTCCAAGAGATAATTGAGTCCATTTTCTTCCGTGTGCTTCCTCTATTGAAATTCTCCCCTTGCTCGTTTTTCCCCTCAGGAATTCAAACTGTGGGATGATGAGCTGGAGTACGTTGAACAACTTCTGAAAGAGGACGTCCGAAACAACTCAGTCTGGAACCAAAGATACTTTGTCATTTCCAACACGACTGGATACGATGACCCTGCCATTCTAGAGAGAGAAGTCCAGTAAGTAGAATCTCTCTAATCTCCACCCTATTTACACAGGTAGAGGAAGTGAACGCGTCAGGGATCTTCTGGCCAGCTGGGACATCGAGAAGACGCTGCTGTATTGCTTCCCTTTAGCTCTGAGTATTCTCAAAGCTTCTTTGTTAGAGAAATATTCCCTTCCCCTACTCAGGCAAAGAACAAATGTATACGGCTGGAACCAGGGCTTTTTTTGTAGAAAAAGCCCAGCAGGAACGCATTAGCATAATAGGCCACACCCAACAGCAGACACTCATTTGCATATTAGGCCACACCCTTGACAGCACAGCACAGTAGCATATTAGGCCGCACCCCCCATGTTACCAGAAGTGTGGTCATCCAGCCACACCCACCTTTTGCTTCTTATTCTGTTTACCTTGTTGTCAAAACCCAGAGCTTTTTTTGTAGCAGGGACTCCTTTGCATGTTAGGCCACACACCCCCAATGTAGCCAAATCCTAATGAGTTTCTGCTGTTGGGTGTGGCCTATTATGCTAATGAGTTCCTGCTGGGTGTGGCCAACTCAGAAGCCAGCTGAAACTCCGTTCCTGTGTATTCCTGCCCAAAAATAGCCCTGGCTAGAACTGAGGTACACTCTTTGCCTGTTCTTTTATGTCTCAAACTCAAATCTCCTTCCTTTTGTGGTTTCTTTGTCCTGGATTGTAAACCCCCTCAGGGCAGAGACCTACTATACAGCTCAATGCACAGTAAAGGCATGGGATAGTGTGAGAAAAAGCATAAAAGTTCATTCTGCTGGGGGGGGGATGCTTTTTAAGCAATCCATGTTGGGCATTTGTCATCTTGTGAACATCTTTTATGTCGGCTACCATCCGAGGGCTTGCCTGTGTGCTTTGCCGATCTAGGAAACAGGGTTTTTTCCCCTCTTATAAAAAGAGTCTTTGTCCATTATGAACAAAAGAAACAGGGGGTGTGAAGTCCTTTTTCCATGAGGTGAGCGCTGCCTTTGCCTCTTGGGATCAAGCACTTTGGCACAGATTTAACGCAGCTTTATTTCTACCCTTTCCTTTGTCAAACCCTTTTCTTTCCTCTCCTTTTCAGGTATACTCTAGAAATGATCAAGATGGTGCCTCACAATGAGAGTGCTTGGAACTATTTGAAAGGGTGAGACTCCGATGCTTTTTGGCAGCTGTGACTTTGTGCCGCAAGCACAGCAAACCAAAAAAAAGTGCAGGGTGTGATATTTGGCACAGAGCTGCAATGCGTTAGGCTGTACATCACGGCAAATACATTGGGTTAAATCAGTAAAACATTATTGGAAGTGTATTTCAAGAAGAAGGCTGTAGTTTAACATGTGGTTCCTAAACCAGAATGTGTTTGAATTCACTAGGATGAATGGTATGCTTTTGCAACCCAGACAGAGTTTGAGAAGGGGAGCTTTCCTCACCCCAGCAAGAGAAGCGGCACCTGCCGAAGTTCCTCTTCTGTTCAGCTCTTAAAGGCACAGGAGCCCTGGACTCCTTGGCCACTAGTCATCTTATTGTTGCAAATTGGAGTCTACCAAACTGTTTGCTGGAGGGGAAAAGAGCCTACCGTGGCACTTATAGCATAAGCGTATTTGAGAGCCAGTTTGGTGTAGTGGTTAAGAGCGGTGGGCTCTAATCTGGAGAACTGGGTTTGATTCCCCATTCTTCCACATGAAGCCAACTGGGTGACCTTGGGTCAGTCACAGTTCTCTCAGAGCTCTCTCAGCCCCACCTACCTCACAGAGTGTCTGTTTTGGGGAGAGGAAGGGAAGGTGATTGTAAGCCATCTTGAGACTCCGAGTGAAGGGCAGGGTAAAAATCCAATCTCTTCTTCTTCTTGACTGTATTCTGATTTGAGTTGTGTTTATACTTCTGTTTTGGGTCAGGGCTGGGAGGGCTGCTTTACTCAGGGAAACAGATGATGGTTACAAATGCCTCACCTTGAAGGAATCATCAATGAATGCAATAGACATATGAATGAGATAATAGCAACAGAAGAACAAAGCAGGGAAACTGATTTTTTTTAAGTGGGACATTGGGAGGAAATCACCTATATTTAATTTATTCTGTGCGTCCCGGCTGGCACTATAGAGGGTAAGGGCGAAGCAAGTCAAAAATACTAAATATTAAACAAAAGAGAATATTAAGGTTTACCCCCAGAGCTTAAATGTCACACTTCAGTAACCCACACCACAGCAGTGTAAGGTCGACTATATTGTTATCCCAATACTTACTGAAGATTTGGGGGGGGAGTGTTTGAGAGGCAGTGTGAAGAAGGTTGCCTGAGGGGGTGAAACCTCCCCCCCCCCATATGTTAATGCCAGTCCTCTCCCTAAGAATGCTGTGGAAGAGGCAGAAGCCCTATTTTGTTACTCTCGAAGATTCGGGACGAATTTAGTTATGGAGGCTCTTCCCAAGCAAATTCCAGTGCCTTTCAGTCAAACAACGAGAGCCAGTGTGGTGTAGCGGATAGAGTGTCTGACTAGGACCGGGGAGACCAACAGCAGTCGGGAAGAAAATAAGGCCACAGCGAAAGTAGGAGGGGGAAAAAGGGGGGAACAAGGATCTGAAAGGTCAAGTCAACTACTCCCCCTTGTACATTGTTCCCCCTTTTTTTCTCTTAGGATCTGGGAGACCCAGCTTTGAATCCCTACTCTGCCCCAGAGACATGCCAGGTGACTCTGCACCAGTCACACACTCTCAGACTAATCTACCTCATAGGGTTGTTGTGAGAATAAGAGGAGAGGAGAATGACAAGATGCTTTGGCTCACCACTGGGGAGAAAGGCAAGGTATAACTGAAGTAAATCGATAAACAAGCCAGCCAGCCAGCCACCTAGTTGTGTGTGCAGTCAACAGCAGCAATGGTTGGGAAGCAAGGGAAGGCCCTGAAACATCTGGTTTATGTTGGCTAGTTAAGAGGATGGATTGGGGGCAACGAGGGCCAGGGCCTTTTCTGTGGCGGCCCCTTACTGGTGGAATGAGCTCCCGGAAGACATCAGGGCCCTGCGGGACCTTTTGCAGTTCCGCAGGGCCTGTAAAACGGAGCTCTTCCACCAGGCTTTCAAATAGGGTGCCGCCTTTAGCATCATGGCCCTGGCTGGAACGCCAACATCATCACCAACCTGACAACCAACAGCCTGGCAGGAGCCTGGACTAAGGGGTAGGCGACCATTCAGATGCCGAGAGAATGTCTCCGTCTTTTATTACGTCTATGTTCTGAGTAGTTATGGTTTTATATACTGTGATTTTTAACTTAATTCTGTTCTTTGAGCATATTTTGGAGTTTTAATGTATACATTTATATGTATGTTCTTTAAGCCACCCTGAGCCTGCTACAGCGGGGAGTGGAGGGAAATTTTTAAATAAAATAAAATGTTCTGGTTGCCTGCATCCCTCCTCTTGTGATAGATCAGACTGCGCATCTGCTGGACCTCCTGAGGGCACCTGGTATTTTTGGCCACTGTGTGACCAAGAGTGTTTGACTGGATGGGCCACTGGCCTGATCCGACACTGGCTTCTCTTCTGTTCTCTTATGTTCTTATCTGAAAGCACAAATTTGGGTACCCAACAGTTGGGTGAGAGAAAGTTATGAGAAATAAATTATAACAAAATATATGTGTTTATTACAAAGTGCACTAAAACTCAACTTTAAAAATACAGGCACATTCCACCCCTGTAGTAGCGAATATTTTAATTTAGAAGTCCTAGATCTATATAAAATGATAGAATTCAGTCTCTCTAAGATAAGAGCCTTGAACCGATAAAACAGGACTGACAATTCAGTATCTCTAGGCTGATAACCTTGAACCCCATTAAAACAGGACCAAAAGCATTTTGGCCCCTAAGGCCTTCCTCAGTGGGTCAAATTACTGTATTCATGCACACTCTGACATGTAAACATGTGTTTGTGCCAAGGCAGGCTGATTATAAGGCATTCCAAATATACACAGTACTTCTGAAAGGTGAGTCCCAGAGAATAGCGTGACTGTGCGACATGTTGGGGGATCCCCAACAGGGCTTGTGTCGCCTGTATCATTTAGATGAGCCCTGTCTCTGGGACTGTACCTCTGGTGGAGAAGAGGGCCCTCCATAGGTCTGTTTCAGTAGGTCCACAAAATCAGGGAGCTGGGATAGACTGCTTTACAGCGTGTCTATTGCCTTGCTCTTGTCTAGCAACTGGTATTGGCAGCTGCTGCTTCTCATGATCCAGAGGAAGGATTAGGATTAGCGATATCAGCATTAAAAAGCCAACACATTAAAATGTCCTCCTGACATTAAGGAGCCAGAGACACTAGTACATGTGCAGGTATGACGATATCGGCATTAGAAAGCCAACACATTAAAATGTCCTGACATTAAGAAGCCAGAGACACTAGTACATGTGCAGGTATGCCAACTGCACATCTAGCTCCACTTTGTGTTTACAGCATAGCCCTTTGTGGCTGAACAAGTTGCCAGATCTTGCTGCATGTGCCGAGGCATTCTCCTCCTCCTCGTTCTTGTGGTTCTTGTAGCTCTGTGCACATTTCCACCCTTGTTTCCGTCTTGTAGCTCAAGGCAGGGGTAAACGTCCCTTTCTGCTGATGCTCGGAATATCCAGTGTTCGTCTTGGTATCCAGTGGAGTTGGGTTTGCACGTTTAGGATATGCCGGAAAGTTGGTTGCTCGGAAATCTTTTTACAACAAATGATTCGTAGCTGGCAGTTTATTCTTTATCTGAGATTTCAGAAGATCTCTGACTTCTATAGGTACAGTCAGATGTAAGGGGTAGGATGTGACCTTCGCGCCCAGATTCACAGTGGTGTCTTTTTGTGTCAGGATTCTGCAGGATCGTGGCTTGTCAAAATTCCCCGGTCTCCTGGAACAGCTGTTGGACTTGCAGCCAAGCCACAGTTCTCCCTACCTGATTGCCTTCTTGGTGGACATATATGAAGACATGCTAGATAACCAGTGTGAAGACAAGGAAGAAACGCTCAACAAAGCATTAGAGGTAAATGTAAAGCCTGTCCTTTTAAAAGCCCTACACTTGTTTAGCTAGCCTGCTGTCATTTTTAGCCTGTTTGACAACTGCCAGCAGAAGATATCTTCCTATAAACTTCCATAATGGAAATTGAGAAAGCAGCCAGTCTGTTGACTGTTCAGAGGTGAAAAAGATTGCACCAAATTTTAGCTCATTGCAACAGATTCAAGGGTAAGCGACTTTAACAATTGTCTCACATAGTTTGAACTTTTGCACAGTTATAAGTAAAGAAGAATTCAGGAAGCTGCTTCTGTGCAATACAGTGGAAGCTGGGAGTTATAATTTTCAGGGCTTTTTCAGTGGTGACACCTCGTCTGTGGAATGGTCTTTCCCTTGATGCTCACCTGGCGCCTACTGTACTCGCTTTTAGGTGCCAGGCCAAGACATTTCTTTCCCCCCCAGGCTTTTAATTCATCGTTTACATTGTTTTATAGTCTGCTTTTGTCGTGAGAAGTATTCTGAGATTCATTTTAAGATATTTTTATGTTATTTTTATGCTGTGACTGTTTTTAATAGTTCATTAATTGTTAACAACTTTTATGGTGTGTGTGTGGGGGTGAGTTTTTTTTGTTATGTGTTACTTCATAAGCCACCTCAAGCAGATTTTTGGCAGCATAGAAAGCTTCTAAATAATTTCCCTCAGTTATTTAGTTATTTATTCAACTTCTGATGTTTTCTTGAAACGCAGTGACATGAATATGTTTTGCTCATAGTCGCTGTGACTGCCACTTTCATATGTGCTGCTTATCAAATTGTTAATATTTAATGTTTGTCTCGACAAAATATGCTTGAGGCTTTGGAGCTATTTAGTTCGAGGTAGTTTTCTGTTCACCTCACAATGTGCCGTTCTGTGCAGATGCAGCATCTGATTTGTCTTCATGTCTAATATGTTCTCCAAATTTCTTATTGTCAGTGGCTTCCAGCCAAAACCGTCTCGTTCCTAACGTGTGGGTGGCGAAATTTGCAAAGGTGCTATTGAACGCTGCCTGCTTAGATTTGGCACTGTGTTTGCGGCTTCTGTTGTTTTGCTGACAAAATTTCCAGTTTTGAGCCTTGGCTAAAAATTGCAGTACATCGAATATCGCTTAGATGGGGAGGATTGCGAAATGGTGTGGATTTGTTAGTGTCCCTTAAGAGGCCAGACTTATGCTTTATAGGCCTATCTGGAAGACTTAGTGCTCATGGTTCGTTCATTTCCCTTGCTAGGCCAAATCCCAGAGGCCAGATTGAACTGCTTAATGCTCAAAGGGGGGGGGGGGAAACCCTCTTCAAAGTAGGGAAAACCCCTGTGCTGTTTTATTTAGCACTTTGATGCCCATCACTGTAGAATGAATAGATTGCTTGGCAGGAAATCCCTGGCGTCTCCAAGTAGAAAGATCAGGTAGTAGGTGATGGGAAAGACCTCTCCCTAAGACCCTGGAAAGCCACTGCCAGGCTGAGTGGACAATACTGACTTCAGCGGAACAAGGATCTAATTCAGTATAAGGCAGCTTCATTTGTTTAGATTTCAAGGGCTGCAGGGATGTTCATTCGGCTACATGGAGTGTGACAGAAATCAGGTGGTGACTGTTTAACAGTAAATATTCAAGCCGGAGTGAATCTATTCATTGGTTAAAGTGATATCAGTGTGAATAAGTCCTTGTCCAGGTGTGATTGCTGCAGCAGCATCTCTAAGGGCATGGATATGCTTTCTCCAGTGAAACCTGCAGAGGATGCGATGGTAAGTTTAAAATACTGGAGTGCAAATTGTGCCCCTAAAAACCGTGGCTGACAAATGAAAATTGAGTACACGTAACTGCATTTGTACATACTGTCCCTACCCTCTGCCTTTCTCCTCTGTTGTTTCTCTTTTCATCATAATTTAGATCGTAAGCTCCTTGGGACCTGCTCATTTAGCTTCATTAAAGCCCCATGGAAATTGGCGGCTCGACGACTCAGTTGAGGCATAACGCAAAACCATGGTTCAATTAAAGTATCTGTGGTTGGTGTGACTGAAAGCAGGTCGTTCCACTAATATGGTGAATTCTGTCCATCCAGCATCTGAAACCATGGTTCAGATCTGGATCCTTTTAGCCACAGTTAGTCTTAATTACAGTGTGAATGACAACACCCTGGTCTATTCCCCAGCACTGACCTCCATGGCTGTAGAGCAAAGGTAGTGGAACCAGCATTTATTGAGGCAAACAAGGATCTGAGGGATCCGTTTAAATCCAGCTAAATTCCAGCATAAGATGTTTCCAGAAGAGGCAGAAGGGACCTATTTCACTTCCTTCCTGTGACCCACTGCAGCCACCGGAGTCACAAGGCTGTTAGTCCATGTGGGTCCCGTGGCCCTCGGAACAACTTTCCCCAGGATCAGAAGGGACTTACCGGAAGTGAGGAAAATGCGGGAAAGATGTTGATTCTTGCCTCTGTGGATCACAGGTTCCAGCCTGTCATTTGGGGAGCGGTGGGGAGTAACATCTGAGCTGAATGGGCTTGCTGTCAGTTCTAGCCTCGCGCTGGTGTGAGCTGCCAGCCTTGTCCCCAGCTCGCCGTCTACCCAGCGGTTCGAAGGCTTCGGCGAGTAGATAAAATGGGTACCACTCCTTAGAGAGAGTGGGCACACTGAAACCCCCCCCCCCTCGTTGGGTTGAGCGGTGTTAGCCGGCAAACGGAAGTCCAGCTCGCATGATGGAAAGCCTAGAGAGATCTCCTTGGTGTTAAGATAAAGCCTGTAATGGGCCATCCGGCCAGGCGATGGCAGTGTGGCGCTACAACTCAAGGAGTCTGGAGAAAGCTGACGCCATCAAACTCGGCCGAGAAAAATGCCGTTCCAGATCATGTCTCATCTGCATCTGAACGAAACCCTCATCGGCTGTGAATGTGTGCAATTTAAGATGTATATATGTTGTCGTCCCTTACCCCACATTGTATTGTTAGTCCCTCGTGAAAAATGAGTAACTGTAAATCGCTCAGAGCCAGCAAGCTCTGCCGGATTGAGCGATCAATAAATTGAAATATTATTATTATTATTATTATTTGTAAGTCAAATCCTGCTTTCTTGAAACCAGCCGTAGTTAGAATAAACCATGGTTTTGCTTTGGGTAGAGAAGAAGAAGAGACTGGATTTATACTCTGCTGTTCACTACCCAAAGGAGTCTCAGAGCTATTTACAATCCCTTTCCCTCCCCACAATAGACACCCTGTGAGGTAGGTGGGGCTGAAAGAGCTCTCTCGAGAACTGCCCTTGGGAGAACAGCTCTGAAGGAACTTGTGACTGACCCAAGGTCCCACCAGCAGCTGAATGTGGAGAAGTGGGGAATCAAACCCAGTTCTGCCAGATTAGAGTCCGTGCTCTCTCAACCACTATACCAAACTGTGTTTGAGTTGGATTGCAGAGATCTTTGTGCACTGTGGATCTGTCAGAGTAACTTAATAAATAATAGAACTATGCAAATAGGTTTTTTTTTAACAACCTTGGGTCTTTTTGTTTGTTTATTTTCCCCTTTCTACAGTTGTGTGAAATCCTGGCGAAAGAAAAAGACGTCATACGGAAGGAATACTGGAAATACATAGGAAGATCCCTGCAGAGTAAACACAGCCCGCCTGTGGAACAGGATGTGCCAACCGAAACTGATGAGCAGTAATTTCACATCAAGGGAAGGGGCATATTTAGCTCTGTGGTGTATTAAGCTATGAGAGTGGTGGGAGCTAGGCAGGTGACTTTAACGGATGCCGATCACCCTCTTCCTAAATACGGTGTAGCTGTTCATTACTGCAGAAGTATTGCTTCTAACCACACCAAGAGCGCAAAGCATTTGGCATAACAAACTGACCCCTGGTAACTGCTGCTATACACATTGGCTGTGCGGTGGTCCAAAGCACTGTGTGTGTGTGTGTGTGTGTGTGTTTGTTTTTCAAACTTAGTAATTAGAAGAGCTGTACCAAATAAACAAATTGTTTCTGAACAGTATATATGAAGAATGCTGTAAAAGCTGTTTTCATGCCCTAAACCTGTTCCCTCCACACAGTGGCCCCCATTCTCATCAGAGCAAGTCCATATAAGAAACCGAATGTATTTTGAGTTGAATTGCATAGCTCTTTGTGTGCAGTGGATCTGTTAGAGTAACTTAATTTTAAGTCACCGCAAGGAGAAAATGCAATTGTATGTTGGAACAGCTATGCAACACTGACTGTGTTATTATTATACCCAACTAATGTCCATCAATAATTTGTAATAAAAGTATATAGACTTGTACTGAGGTTTGAATGTGCATCTCGTATTTCTACTTCCTTTAAGTATCTCATGGTAACGGTTGTTCCTTTGGGATCAGGCACATGCTTTGCTTATCGATAGCCCCAGGTTCAGTACCCGGCGTCTCCAGTTAAAGGTTCTCTGATGGAAGGTACTGGGAAGCTACCGTTCTCTGCCTGAAACGCTGAAGAGCTGCTGCCAACCAAAGTTAGCAATAGTGAGCTAGCTATGCCAGTGGTCTGATTCAATGTAAGCCAGAATCATATGTTTATCTAGCTCAAGCATGTCAACATGTAAGGCCAGGGGCTACACTAGGTTTTTTAAGAGGTTCCCATGGCATCTTTGCTATAAACTATACATTATGCTATTGAACCACCTGTAGGACTAGGAAGCAAAGGCCCATTGAAGGGCTGTAACAACCACTGATGAGTCTTGGTCCCTGCTTTCGTAGCTGGCTATCTAATGCATGGAAGTCTTTGTTCCCCAAATCATTCAAAACACAGCGGGAGAAATATATGTGAGAATAATGTTATTTTGTTCATTCTTTAAACGTTCTAAAATTTAGTTTGCCAGAGGTGCAGTAATGTTCGTGTTCTTCCCAGTGTCAGTATCTATTTGAAGCAGAATTAGTGGTGTAATGGCAAATCCAAGGGAAATTTCAATAGCTTGCAATGCATGTGCAACTGCCAGGAAATTTTGGGGTGGTGAATCGGGATTCTGTAGATCATAACCTAGGTATTAATTTGGGTTATGATAACGACTGGTTCACTCAAGCATTCTCACTGGTTCACTCAAACGACTGGTTCACTCAAGCATTCTCACTGCTGAAAGAGAAGTGACGATTCACACATACAAATGAGCCATCATCGATTATATACCATAGAGAGAATGTTTGTATTGCATCAAGACACAATGCACATCAATCACGACGACACTGCTTTGTGTATTCAGTTGCCAGTTGTCTTATAAAAGAATGGAGGGGGAAATATACATGCTTATGTGAAGTGGGTCTCACAAGATCTTTGAAAATGCGTATCTATATAATACATATAAATGATTTGACACCTGTTTTCTCAGAGGAGTTGCAGTGGGTCTGTGTTGCTTTAATGTGCTCCTGCTTTGAAATAGTCACATATGAAATAGCCAGGGAGATTGTTCACCGTTCTTGACATTAAAAAAACAAAAAAAAGCTTTGATCTGTTTGCAGAGTAAGGAGGCATTTAGCAAACACCTAAAACTTCACAGAAATTCTGAACTCTGTCACTCAGATTTGCCTCTGCTTGAAAACAAAAGTGAGATTTTTGCTTTGAATCCAAACGGAATCAAAACCCTCCGTAAGAAAACATGCAGTTCATCGTCTCCCCCACTTCACCTTGCAACCCCTCCCCATCACTGCTTCACATCCTTGGCTGCCGTCCCATAACTGCATGGAGACATGGGCCCAAGTTGGACTAACCCAAACAAACAGTCCTTGTACCTATCAAGAGCCCTGCTCTAAGCTATCATTCAAAGCGGAAGTCACCCTCTGGCCCTAACCCTGAAACAGATCCACCATGCAGCATGCTCAGCAAAGACCTGAGTGGTTGTAACCAAGCCTACTTCTCTTAAACAACCTGAGCTCTGTAATAAAGCGGACAACTTCTCTGTTTTAGTCTCCTATCTGCAATCTGGGAATAGTAACATCAATATAGCTTATATGGTTGTTGTTTTTTTATATATATAAACTCTCCTCAAAAGGAGAGAATTTTATTGCTTTTAAATTTTCAGAAAAAAGGGAGGGGATATAGAGGGATTAAGAATAGTGGTGAGTGATGAGTAAATTAGTATATTAATATTTTGTTAGTATTAATACATTCCATAGCTTCATCCGTGGATGGACGATCTTCTTTCTTCTTTACCTGTTGTATTAAGCATCACAGTATGAAGTGTTCGTGATGATCCAAAGAGCTACATAAGTGCTGAGCATCATTAGTCCCCCTTCTTAGGGCACCTTGGCTCACTACAGAGAGTGTAATTGGAGTCAAGAAGAACTGGCTCATTCTCACATGACTTTGCAAAACATGATCTCCCTCCTGGGCCAAAACCAGCTTGACTTGTACATTGTTGAAGAGCTCAGGCCATGGGGTTTCCTCCCATCTAATGCTCTCAACAGAAGAGAAATTATCTGGCCAGGCTGGTTTCCATGATTAGAGGACAGTGGCCAGATTATATATCAGAAGTATTATTGGGAAGCTGGCCTTAGAGCTTTTCAGCTGCTGGTCAGGCTGCCATTTTCTTTTTTGTTGCCTTTTGTGTATGCTTGGTGCTTTCTGAGCATGTGACTGAGGCAGTGTGTGCCCATTTTCTTCCCCATGTTCAGAGCGTGGATGGGGGCTCTTGAAAGGACAGTTTGGATCTGACCTCCACACCAGACCCGGCTTCACACGCAAATATACTGGCCTTCAACTGCAAACCTGAAACCTGGATCTGGCATCGCAGAAGACTCTGAGTGGCATGTAAAACTGAGAAGTGGGTTGGGCTGAGAGAGTAACAGCCCAAGGTCATCCAGTGAGCTTCATGATGGTGTAGGGATTTGCACCCAGGGCTATTTTTGAGCAGGAACGCACAGGAACGGAGTTCCGGCTGGCTCCCGAGTTGGCCACACCCAGCAGGAACTCATTAGCATAATAGGCCACACCCAACAGCAGAAACTCATTAGGATTGGCGTGTGTGGCCTAACATGCAAAGGAGTCCCTGCTACAAAAAAAAGGCCCTGGGTTTTGACAACAAACAAGGTAAACAGAATAAGAAGCAAAAGGTGGGTGTGGCTGGATGACCACACTTCTGGCAACACGGGGCTGCGGCCTAATATGCTAATGAGCTGCGGTGTCAGGGTGTGGCCTAATATGCTAATGAGTTTTGGCTGTTGGGTGTGCCCTATTATGCTAATGAGTTCCTGCTGGGTTTTTTCTACAAAAAAAGCCCTGTTTGCACCAGTGTCTCCTTGGACTGGGTTCTGTACTCGAACCCCTGCAGCCTCACTAGCTTTCTCATTTAGAGTATTGTATGTTAGTCTATTTTATTTACAAAATTTGTATCTCACCTTTCTGGCCTCATCAGGTCACCCAAGGCAGCTAACAGATTTAAAACATACATAACAAAAACCATTAAACCCTTGCAAAAAAATATCATTCGAACTATTAAAACCAAGTTAAAATACATATAAAATTCAATATATATACATAAAAGCAATCAAAACATTTATTTACAAAATTATGATCTTATACTGTGTGTGAACAGTATAAGTCACTTGCTCTTGAATAAGTCCTACAGAAACCTTGTTTATTGCATGTGAATGTAGCAGCCTGAATATTTAATAGCTTTTGTAAAATTACCGTCAGTATTCAATAATTCCATTGTGGCTGAATGCATAAAGTTTTGGGTGCTGTCTTGAGGGGCCTTGCTGTTTCATTGACATTATATTCTTGTCAGGGTGGAATAGTAAAAGAAAAAATTAAAGAGGGGTGAGACGCTGGAATAGGTAACTGTTATTATTTAAGAGCCACAACAGTTGGTTGGTTTAATATATATTTGATGGCAGTAATTTCTGTTGAACTTAATTTCTAATTTTATTGGAGTAAAATCAGTGGCGGCATCCTGAATCACCTATATTAGTAAAACAGAGTCTTATGCATATGCCACCTCTATATCGGGGAAATATTTCAATTAATCTGCAGTAATGTTTTATTTTGTATTTGGTTGTAAGGAATCTGCAGTTCTGTTGTGTCTATTAGCTTTGCTTAGTACATTTGCTGCTCAGTAGAATATGCTTAGTTATGAACCCTTGTTTGTGTGTTATTGAGCTAATTATATAATTAAAAGCAAATATTTTACATGCAGAGTTTTTAATAATTTGTTATTTTTCTTAATAGATTGCAAATTTTACAGGGACATCACTTCATACTGTAAATGGTTCTGAAGCCACAAAGCTGCCCTTAATAAACATGGCAACCAGTTTCAAATACTCCTTATATAGGATTTCCTCTAGTAAAGATGGCTACCATTTTTGTTGTTTTCAATGGCATTGAAGCAAAACTGCCCTTTGAGAAGATGATTCTCCTGTGGACTCTATGGTTAGAAAACTGGACAGAAAACCATTGGAGAGAAAAAAACAGGCAACATTTTATAGAATAGGGAAGAATCTGAAAAGGGATATTATTTATTAGTTCAATTTATACCCCGCCCTCCCCGCTGAAGCAGGCTCAGGGCAGCTTACAAAACGATAAAACATGTAAACAATTGTGAACATAGATAAAACCAATTTAAAAACAATCTGCTGTCATAAAATGCTAGCTAGATATATATAAATACTTAAAATATGAACTATAACTCTTTTTTTTTTGGTTATAATCAATGATATATTTTAAAATACCAGGTGGAAAAAAATGAAAAATATAATTTGGTAATGTATGAGGTCTCTCTCATGGATCGCTGCCTTGACGTGGCGAGGGGGCTTGTGTGGTTCGATGAGGCTGCGGGTTTGCCGTGGAGGGCCACCCAGGACAGACAGGCCACAGCGGAGAACTCAGGCAAAATGTGATCCACTGGAGAAGGAAATGGCAACCCACTCCAATATCTTTGCCAAGAAAACCCCATGGACAGTAACAAAAGGCTAAAAGATATGACGCCAGAAGATGAGGCCCTCAGATCGGAAGGTGTCCAATATGCTACTGGGGAAGAGCAGAGAGCAAGTACAAGTAACTCCAGAAAGAGTGAAGCAGCTGGGCTAAAGCCGAAAGGACACTCAGTTGTGGATGTGTCTGATGGTGAAAAGAAAGTCCAATGCTGCAAAGAACAATACTGCATAGGAACCTGGAATGTAAGATCTATGAATCAAAGTAAGTTTGACATGGTCAAAAATGAGATGGCAAGACTGAACATCGACATCTTGGGAATCAATGAACTAAAGTGGATGGGAATGGGCGAATTTAACACAGAAGGCCATTATATCT